TGGGGAGTCATCTAGTCCAACCCCCTGCTCAAGCAGGAAACCCTGTACCATTTCAGACAAATGGCTGTTCAGTCTCTTCTTAAAAACCTTGTGCTGGAGCACCCACAACTTCTGTAGACAAGGTGTTCCACTGATTAATTATTCTCACTTTTAGGAAATTTCTCCTTATTTCTAGGTTGCTTCTCTCCTTGATTAGCTTCCATTCATTGCTTCTTGTCCTGCCTTCAGCTGCTTTGAAGAATAGGTTGACTCCCTCTTCTTTGTGGCAGCCCCACAAATATTAGAAGACTGCTATCAAGTTCCCCCTAGTCCATCTTTTCATACCCAATTCCAGCAACCATTCTTCATATGTCTTAGCTTCCAGTCCCCTAATCATCTTTGTTGCTCTTCTCTGCACTCTTTCTAGAGTCTCAACATCTTTTTTATAATGCGGTGACCAAAATCAAAGTGAATCACTTTTAATCAAAGTGGAGCACTTTTGAGCATCATTAATTTCAGTGTGACTTGTGTTGTGAAGACCTCAGAGATTCTTAAATGGCTCTGTTGAAAGTATTTTTACTTTGACTAGAGTGCACCAACTTCTACAATTCACAGAATGAGACAACTCGCCGCAGCCATGTGAAAATTAAAAATATGCACATCTTCTATTTATATCTCCCAACTTTCAAATTGTAGCTTTCAAACTTCCCACTTACATTTGCCAGGAAATTCCTGTGGAAACATCCTGTTACAGAGGATTATGCAATATTTAATGGAACTTTCCTTTGTCTTTCTTCCTCCCCCCCCCCCCAAAAAAATTGGATGCAATGCACAGATAGAGAAAATGTTTTCCTCCATAACTGCTGTTATTGGAATACAATTTCATCCTGCGTAATGTGGCAAGAACTTAGAAAATTCCCAATTCTCTGTCCCAGAAGGGGAAAGAAGTAATTGCAAACTGTTTTTTTCATTGATGGCTTTCTGATCTTCCTATGAAGGAAGCAAAGCAACATCTCAAAGCTACCCAATTATGCAAAGCATTGTCATGTATGAAGTCATTGGTGGGTTTTGTGACAACTGTTTCTTTTCTTCCTTCCCACATTCCTATTGATGCTGCAAGACTTAAGATGGAGCTCTCCCAAAAGTACTTTTTCCAAAAGGCAACTGGACTTTCTTGTTGTTGTTTTTTTTCTTTGAAAACGTTTTGCTTCTGTTCCAAGAAGCTTCTTCAGTTCTTTAGTTGAGATTGGCAGAACTGAAGAAGCTTCTTGGATGAGTAGCAAAACATTTTCAAAGAAAAAACCAAGAAATACAGAATAATAAAGTTGGAAGGGATCTTACAGCTCTTCTAGTCCAAACCTTGTTCAGGCAGAAGACCCTATACCATTTCAGACAAGTGGCTGATCAGTCTCTTCTTAAAAGCCTCCAGTGTTGGAGCATTCACAATCTCTGGAGGCAAGCTGTTCCACTGGTTAATTGCCCTCATTGTCAGGAAATTTCTTAGTTCTAGATTGCTTCTCTCCTTGATTAGTTTCCACCGTTTCTTGGACTATCTTCAGGTGCATTAGAGAAGAGGTTGATCCTCTCTTCTTTGTGGCAGCCCCTCAAATAGTGAAACGCTGCTATCATGTCACTTCTAGTCCTTCTCTTCATTAAACTAGACCGGGGTAGGCAACCTTGGCTCTTTTATGACTCGTGGACTTGAACTCCCAGAATTCCTGAGCCAGCCTGGCTCAGCTTGGAAACTTCTCCCTTTCCCCTCAGCATGGCTGGCTCAGGAATTCTGGGAGTTGAAGTCCACGAGTCATAAAAGAGCCAAGGTGGCCTACCCCTGAACTAGACATACCCAATTCCTGAAATTCCTCATTCTTCATACGTTTTGGCCTCCAGCCTCCTAATTATCTTTGTTGCTCTTTTCTGTACTCTTTCTGGAATCTCAACATCTTCTTTACATCATGGAGACCAAAACTGCAATGCAGTATTCCAAGGGTAATCTTACTAAGGCATTATAAAGTGGTACTAACACTTCATGTGATCTTGGTTCTATCCCTAATCCTTGCTTGCTTAGCTTTCCCACTTGTGTGAGTAGAAGCTATAGAATGAGATACATTTTACAAAAATCAAATCTGAGAGATGGAAGAAAGCCTATGGATTCGGAAAGCTTTTTCATACAAAGCCAAAGACTGGACAAGCAAGCAGAGTCATCAAAACATGCAGTGCAGTTTCATGCATTTATTAGACATCTCGTTGTTAATTCTTCCAGCAACAATTCCCAATTCTGTATCAAGGCTCGGCTTTACCTATCTTTTTCCCTCCAGTCCTCAATTGGGGGGCGGGGAGTTGAAAACCTCACACAAAAACCAGGACTATCTTGTTTTTCCATCCAGAAAAAAGAAATAATCTCTCTTAAAAAAAGAGGTTTCTATAAATGTAGTGCCATAGTATGCATGTATCAGTTTATTTTTATTTTTTTTTGAAAAAAACCCAAGATAAAAATAGAATCTATTTCCCCCTCTTCTGTATCCAGATACCCTTTTCAAAACTTTGCATTTTTTTTTTAATGGTGAATGACATAAGGATGTAGATCAGTTGCTGGGACCCTGAGATTTAGAATGGGTACTTTTGAAACTTCTCATTATTAAAATAGATTTTTTAAAAAAGTTAGCTCTGAATGAAAAATCTTTTGATTTGTGAAAAATAGGGTGAAACAGAACAGGGGCATTGGTGAATTTTTTTCCCCAGATTGAAATAAAACAGAAGAATGATTCTCCTTTGCTGTATGAGTTTACCAAATTAAAAGGACTTTATATGTATAACATTACAACACAGACATAAAGGCGAATATCTGTAGCTCTCTGAGCTCGGTTATTTTCCTGCAGACATTTCATTACCCAGCTAGGTAACATCATCAGTGCTAGCCTGGACAGGCTTTACAATGTAAAGCCTTGGGATAAAGGGAAAAAAGAGACAGAGAAAGGAATAAGGAAGAGAGAAACACTGTTAGGGGTTAATTCTGGCCATCAGAGATGGGGCCCAGCCCAAATTTAAGCATTTATATTGATTTTAATGGGAAAGACTTATGTGGTGTTTTTCTCACTGGCTTATTGCTTTATTCTGTGCTATTGACTTATGTTCTTGCCTCATGTAATGTAGATGATTTTATTAACTAGTCTTTTTTTAACCAGACAGGCAAATCTGCAAGAGAAAAGGACATTGTCCAAGTGTCTTCATGGGTGTGGCATTAAAATTAAAACCACACAGACTGGTTCAAATGTTTGTCCTGGAAGCTAACTGAGCCATTTAGAATACAGGATTGTGCTGGGTTCCTTTACGCAAGATTAATTTGTCAATCTGGGGAGGGAAGTCAGGTCTGGAGGAGATTAAGAGGAGAATTTCAAGAGGCAGGATAGAAAAGATCAAAATTTCACGTCAATTTTCTTTTCTGGTTCAAGAATGGATGGAGAGAATTCAAGCTGGTGGTTGGGAGTTGAATTCTTCTTCTTCCTTAGGGATCCCCTTTAGCTAAATCAAGATATCATAAAAAGGATTTCTTCCCTCTCCTGTTAAATCCCAGTCTTATTCTTTGACAGAAAGCTGTACAGAAAGATTCTAGCACAATCCACTTTTATTCCAAGTGCCGCATGCCAGCAATTTGTTTTCAGGTTTGCCAAGTGGTAAATTTGAGCCTTAAGTAAACCACAATGGAAAAACCAGATGTATTTTTGCGCATTTCTGGGAAGATCACATTTCAACGCAAGGTGGATTTTAATATCCCAATTGCCTAACATTTCTGAAAGACTCAGGAATCACTCCACAGCTTGCTGTAAATGACTGCTGGGTCAGTACTGAACCCCCCATTCTTTTTTCTAATTGCTATATTCATGGGGGCAAAAATGATATTTGGTTTGGGTGACGGCTGTCCAGCTCCTTTGCTTGGGAGATTCAATTTAAAACAAACCATTCCACATTTTACTAGAAAGAATCATACTGAAGCCTTTTACAGGACATTTATTTCCTGACGTGTCTATTCTGATGTGTTTGTGAACTTCTCCAGTTCCCCCGTCCTGTTTCATTCTTTGCTTTTTATGCTGTCATTTTATACCGCCATATCTTTTGTACATTGCATGGAATATGCTGGTCTCTGGTCATAATAAAATTTTTGTAGGGGCTTTCCCCCTCAGTTCAATTGAAAAGGGGGAAAAATAAAAACCCCAGGGAAATTCTTCAAGCCCCATTTTGGAGCCCATAGAGATGGGTCTGGTGCGAATGCAAACAGAAAATAAATGTATTACTTCAGGGGTTAGCACAGCACCTTATTCTGAAATCCAACCCCCTTCCGTGGGACTGGAAGGAAACGAGAACTTGTTCCCGTTTTCTTGACAAGATATGGTACCGAAAGCTGCTCATTTTCAACATCACTGCTAGATCCAGACAAGTCTGCAGTCCAAAGTTATGGAGTTAAGAAAAATATGTGTGTGTATGTATGTATGTATGTATGTATGTATGTATGTATGTATATATATATATATATATATATATATATATATATATATATATATGCAGGTCTTTGGTTATTCGGGTTTTCTCCCGTGTAAAATTGGAAGTGTCTTGGCGACGTTTCGACGAAGTCCCATTCGTCATCTTCAAGCTGGTGTTTTCGGCTTCGTGCTTCTAGGAGCAATGAAGCACGAAGAAGCACGAAGCACAAAGCCGAAAACACCAGCCTGAAAATGACGAATGGGACTTCGTCGAAACGTCGCCAAGACACTTCCAATTTTACGCGGGAGAAAACCCGAATAACCAAAGACCTACATACAAACACCCGTGAAAACCTCAGAAAACAAATGTATATGCATATATACATATAAAACAGGCCACGACAGCCTTCCTGATTTGAAAGATTAATGCAAACTTCTTTGTATTCTCTACTTCTGGAAAAAAAAAAAACGAGAATAACCCCCCCCCCCGAAAGCTGAAAAAACAAAGAAATGAAACAAAAGCAAAAACACAACCATTTGAAATTACTCTAAATAATCCAGTTGCGCTATTTTGTTAAGGAAAACCAAAGCAGGCATGGATATCATCGCTGTGTGAACAGAGTTAAATCATTGAGGAACCAACACAGGTCCAACTGAGTCAGAACATTTTGGATTCCTGGAGCCAGAATCAGGTGCCACTCGCCTTTCCATCCTCCCGAGGTCACTGCCATTCATGATGAATGCCACTTTTCTGAATCGTGGTATAAAACATGGCCATTTATTTTGTGTGTGTGTGTGTGTTTAAATCCTTCTATTCCTCTATGCTTCGATGTGTTTTGTAATGCAGGATGAAATCACCTGGGAGAAGGTTTCCATTTCCTGCCTGTTTGGGCACTGGGGATTTTTTCTCCCATCTCTGACAACTTCCCTGTGGGTGGGATCACGGGGGTGACCTGGATCACTTGGTCCCTGTGTGTATTGTGGTTGTGGTTATCGTGGTCTGTCTGGGCCTCTTCTCTCCCACAGCAGAAATGCCAGTTGAAGCTGAAGAAGCAAAACTGCAGAGAGCAGATGAGTTCATACCTGAAAGAACAGAGGGAAAGAGACGTCGCCGATCAATATCTGTGCAACCGATGGGTGTAATGCTCAGAAGACATAAGTTGGGAAGGAGAGATCTAACATTTAGCCCCTTTTCTCCCAGGGAAGGAAATTCAGAACAGACCGAAATAAGAGAATTAACCTGTTGAATTTGCTACAACGACTAGTGATAAGCACAGACTTGATACGTTCACGAAGGACAAACTTTTAAAATTATAGGGAGTCCCTGACTTACAGCCGCAACTGAGCCCCAAAATTTATGTTGCTAAACGAGACATTTGTTGAGTGAGTTTGGCCCCGTTTTATGACCTTGCTTGCCACAGTTGTTAAATGAACCACGGCTAATGCACGGGTATAGTATAGGGGGTACCTTGCTCAATAGTAGTAACTGTGAGAGGCACCTTGGAGTCCTAGTGGACAATCACCTAAATATGAGCCAGCCGTGTGCTGCAGCTGCCAAAAAGACCAACACGGTGCTAGGCTGCATTAACAGAGAGATAGAATCAAGATCACGTGACGTGTTAATACCACTTTACAAGGCCTTGGTAAGGCCACACTTGGAATACTGCATCCAGTTTTGGTCACCGCGATGTAAAAAAGATGTTGAGACTCTAGAAAGAGTACAGAGAAGAGCAAGAAAGATGATTAGGGGACTGGAGGCTAAAGCATATAAGGAACGGTTGCTGGAATTGGGTATGTCTAATGAAGAGAAGGACGAGGGGGGACATGATAGCAGTGTTCCAATATCTCAGGGGCTGCCACAAAGAAGAGGGAGTCAAGCTATTCTCCAAGGCGCCTGAAGGCAGGACAAGAAGCAACGAGTGGAAACTAATCAAGGAGAGAAGCAACCTAGAACTAAGGAGAAACTTCCTGACAGTTAGAACAATTAACCAATGGAACAACCTGCTTCCAGAAGCGGTGAATGCTCCAACACTGGAGGTTTTTAAGAAGAGACTGGACAGCCATTTGTCTGAAATAGTATAGGGTTTCCTGCCTGAGCAGGGGGTTGGACTAGATGACCTCCAAGGTCCCTTCCAACTTTACTATTATTATTATTAATTTAATAAGATGATTGAATCTGGCTTTCCCCCATTGACTTTGTTCGTTGGAAGGTGGCAACAGGGGATTGCATGACCCCGGGATACTGCGACCGTCGTAGATATGAACCAGTTGCCAAGCATCTGAATTTTGATCATATGATTACAGGCATGCTACAATGTTGTAAGTGTGAAAAACGGTCCCATTTTCCAGCATTGGTGTAACTCCGGTCTCTAAATGAACATGTTGTAAGTCGAGGCTATCTCTAATTGTTTGCATTCTACCTTCTGATGCTGGTCTATGGCCATAATAAATAAATATGACTTGATTCAATTCGAAAAAGATTCACCCTAATGGTCTCCTTTGCAAATCCCTATTATTCTCATTTGTCTACATGTCGCTGATCAGAACAGTGATGATGGACACCAGGATTCTCTCCTGAAGATGCATTTAGATACTGAATTCCGAATCGGGAATAAAACTTCAGGTATTAGTGACATAAATTCCTAGGGGGAGCTGCCTTGTTGACTATCTCCGGCATATCATCCTTTTGCTCTAGAGAGGAAGTGACATTTGGAGATAAGATACATTGAATTCTGGCGATAAAAATGACAGCTGTATGATCCAAGCCAGCCACCTGAGAGACATGGTGAACTTTTGTGAGTAACCTCACTTGGCTATGAGATCAGACCCGTGTTTCAGGAAATTCAGACCAGGTTCCAAATATAATAATGTTTTCAGAGGAAGACAAGTCATCTCTAGGCCTGCATTGTTTCAGACGCAGTTGGCTAGGCAGATCTGAAGGTAATAAAACGTATTTTCTCTTTGAAGGAACTTCTTTTTGATGCTCTCTCTAGGTCAGGGGTAGGCAACCTTGGCTCTTTTATGACTCGTGGACTTCAATTCCCAGAATTCCTGAGCCAGCATGGCTCAGCTTGGTAACCTCTCCCTTTCCCCTCAGCCTGGCTGGCTCAGGAATTCTGGGAGTTGAAGTCCACGGGTCATAAAAGAGCCAAGGTTGCCTACCCCTGGCCTACGCCTAGGCCGCTTTCTGACTCGTGGACTTCAACTCCCAGAATTCCTGAGCTAGCATGGCTCAGCTTGGTAACCTCTCCCTTTCCCCTCAGCCTGGCTGGCTCAGGAATTCTGGGAGTTGAAGTCCACGGGTCATAAAAGAGCCAAGGTTGCCTACCTCTGGCCTAGGCCTAGACTGCTTTCTGACTCGTGAACTTCAACTCCCAGAATTCCTGAGCCAGCATGGCTCAGCTTGGAAACTCCCTTTCCCCTCAGCACGGCTGGCTCAGGAATTCTGGGAGTTGAAGTCCACGAGTCATAAAAGAGCCAAGGTTGCCTAGGCCTAGGCTGCTTTCTGACTCGTGGACTTCAACTCCCAGAATTCCTGAGCCAGCATGGCTCAGCTTGGAAACCTCTCCCTGTCCCCTCAGCGTGGCTGGCTCAGGAATTCTGGGAGTTGAAGTCCACGAGTTCTAAAAGAGCCAAGGTTGCCTACCCCTGCTCTGGCTCAATGACAAGATCTACTACATTTCAGTCTGCCGGAAGCCTTCAAAGGTGACTTCTGAGTAGCAATGGTGAAACAGAGAGACTTCAGTGCAAGGAGAGGCAATCAAATTATAATACAGTAGAACGGTCCAATTTCTTTTGCAAAAATTGGGAATTCTTAGCCCATTATAGTTGAGAAGGCAATACTCAACCTCCTCTATGAGGCTGCCTCTTGAGTTTAGCTGTTCTGGAATCCCACCAGTTGTATTTAAAGTCTGGTAGCAATGAACCCCCTCTATACCTCTATATCTTGGTTAATCTTGAAGGTCTTACCAAAGTCCATGTTGCCCTTAGTTGCCATAGTTTAAGATAGCCCCTCTCTACCTCCTCTTCCTTCCTGATAATATGACTTCCAGAACGTCATTTATTTATCGTGAGGAAACATTGCTTACTTCTCTTTTGCAAAGTGTGAGCATTTCCTCAAGTTTCATTTCATCCTACCAAGTATTTCCAACAAAGAACGGACAGGTGAAAGACTGGATTGAAAGAAATTGCAACCGTGGCTGATCACCACTATTGAATAGTTAAATATCAGGCAGAGCAGGATAACAGACTAGCATAATAGAATTGGAAGAGACCTTGGAGATCTTCTAGTCCAACTCCCTGCTCAAGCAGGAGACCTTATATACCATTCTGGACAAATGACTGTCCAGTCTCTTCTTAAAATCCTCCTGGGAGCATCCATAACTTCTGGAGGCTAGCCGTTCCACTGATTATTGTTCTGTTGGGAAATTTCTTCTTAATTCCAGGTTGCTTCTTTCCTGGATCAGTTTCCATCCATTCCTTCTTGTCCTGCCTTCAGGCGCTTTGGAGAAGAGGTTGACTTCCCTCTTCTTTGTGGCAGCCCCTCAAATATTGGAAGACTGCTGTCACCTCACCCTTACTCCTTCTTTTCACTGTACTAGACATATCCAATTCCTGCAACCCTTCTCCATATGTTTCAGCCTCCAGTCCCCTAATCCTCTTTGTTGCTCTTCTCTGCACTCTATGTAGAGCAGTGGTTCTCAACCTGTGGGTCGGGACCCCATTTGGGGTCGAACGACCATTTCACGGGGGTCGCCAAACAATGCAGTCCGCCATTTTTTCCCCCTTTTCCTTAGCTGTGCTACTCCCTTTTATTCTATTGGCTTTTGAAAGCCAATAGAATAGACTCTCTTGAATAGAGTCTAATTCTAGTGGCTTTCAAAAGCCAATAGGAGTTGTCCAGGCTGTCTCTGCCCTGCTGAGCCCGCCAAAAGTCCCATTCTGCAAACGGTGCTGCACCAGTTGAGTAGTCCTTGACTTACGACCGATTGGGGGTCGCGGCATTAAAAAGGTTGAGAACCACTGATGTAGGGTCTCAACATCTTTTTTATATCATGCTGAAGATGGCCAATATTGTGCAGAAGTTGGTCGATATTTATGTAGCAGAAGGTGGTTTAAATAAGCTGTGCCCCAAACCCGCGCTTTATGCCTGTGCCTGCTACTTGCTTTGTACTTACACTCTTTTCTGGATGTGCCATCCGGGAGTGGGTTGGCCAGACTAAGGTTGTTTGATACGCTAATGTTTGAACCGCTGTCCAAGCTATTGCCAAGATGTAACCGTCGCATGTGTCTAACCACGGCTGTGGCGTTAAAAGCTTGCTGGAAAAGAAGAGAGAAAGAAATGACTTTGAGACAAAGAAGAAACATGACACTACAGCTTCAGCGTATCTGCTCTCCCAGCATATCGGATTGTTTAAGGTCCCCTCACATTGAGAAGCCACAAATAACACATGCGCTGGCATGGTTGAATACAAGTAGTCCTTGACTTACAACCATTGGTCTAGGGACTGTTCAAAAGTTACAACGGCACAGAAAATGAGCTCAGTCCAAACCTCCCATTTATGACTATCGCAGCATCCTTACTGTCCTATGATCCTAACTCAGGCGCAGATACTCAGAATGTATTTGCAATGGTCGTAGCAAATACTGGGGCGACATGATTGCCACATGAGATCTTCCCAGATGGCTTCCAGTGAGCAAAGTTAATGAAGGATGCCGATTTCACTTAATGACCTTGTGATTCACTTAACAACCTTGGCAAAAAAAAGGAACGACCCACTAAACAATTGCCTCACTTAGAGTCAAATCAGGCGATTCAAGCAGTTCAAATGAGTATAAAGATGTTTTGCAAGCTTAAGCTCTCTACAAGAATCTGGCCAACTAACAGTCAAGGGAAATGAGCGGGAGATAAGAAAGACATTGAAGGTGGCCTGGACTTAGATCTCTTGTAGACACCAGGGACTTGTGACTTATGATGGGTTTGAGCCCTCCTTTGGGCTGAGCCTGGTCATCTCCTACACTTAGCCACGCAAGTTCCGGTCTCAATTATAGTCGTAAGTCGAGGACTACCTGTATTTTTCATCCAAAATGCTAAAATGTAAAGGATTTAAGGCAGAAGCATCCATGAAGAAGAAGTCAAATAACTCAAGATGGCGGACTTGACAGATTTTTGCACATACAACGCTTGTAAAAAGAAAGATCAGCTTTGGTTATCTGGGTTGCATCTGCAGGGAGACTCCCTGATTTAAGGGCACACATAGTTGTGGGTTCCAGCCTTCACACAAGGCAGATTTTGTTTAGGACATGCACCAAAAAGACACACACACAAAAAGGAAAATAAAATAAAATAAATTTTATCACGTTCCTTCTTTTTCATTCCAGTTAGTAGTTTGGAAATATCCAACCACCACCTCACACAGCCTGGAAAATAATATTTTTTTTCTCTTCCCCTATTTCGAGAAAATGATCCTTTCCACAGCAGTGCAAAGCATAACACCCCACCCCAGGAAGTCTGTCTAATAAAATAAAATGTTTTATCTCACAGAAACTAAGCCAATAATTTGCTGTCACAAAAGGTGGCCTATCTGACAGCCGGGCAATTTTTACTAGATTTTTTTAAAATATAGTTTTTTATTAAAAGTATTGTTCCTGGCTTTGTTTTGGTGATATTGATATTTATTTTGGTGATATTGATCTAAAAGAACAGAGTAACAGAGGGACCTTAGAGGTCTTCTATTCCAACCCTCTGGACTCTACTATTTCAGACAAATGGCTGTCCAATCTCTTCTTAAAAGCCTGCAGGTTTTTAATTTAATTGGGATTTGATCCCAGTTCTTCCCTTTAGCAATTGATCAGGCTCACTAGGGAAGGTGTTTGGAACCAGAAGGGTTTAGGATGGATGAACAAAATCAGAATCTGCAATTTCCCCTTAATCCATGAATTTGTCCGTTGCACGGAAGAAAAGAGAAACAGAATTAAAACATAAGATGGTTTCATTATCTGAGGAGATTTCTCCTGACACTGAATTCAACAGCACTTATTCATAAAGGAACAGCACAACTAGGCCAAGCTAAATTTTCCTGAGGAGAACAAGAATCATAATCTTGGAAAGATGAGAAAACATCTTCATGTATGCTTTACAAAAGCATACATGCATGCATAAATGAATGAATGAATGAGTCAGTCAGTCAGTCAGTCAGTCAGTCAGTCAGCCAGCCGCCAGTCAGTCAGTCAGTCAGTCAGTCAGTCAGCCAGCCAGCCACAGTCAGTCGGTCGCCGGCCAGCCAGCCACAGTCAGTCAGTCAGTCAGTCAATCAATCAGTCAGTCAGTCAGTCAGTCAATAAGCTAGCCAGCCAGTCATACAGCCGGCCAGCCGACCAGCCAGTCAGTGTAAACCATCAGTGGTTCTCCAACAGTGTAAACCATCTGAGGACTCACTCTCCATTTGCTTTTTGCAAAGTTCTTGCGAATCTGAGCGCTGACGGACTCGTGGATATTTTTGCTGAGGGCTGTGTCACCGGCGATCCTGAAACAATAACATAAAATAAGGAAGATGTTTGATGAAGCCACTGCTTTTGAGAGTTTACAACTGGAGGAACGTTCCTCGTCATTTTTACCAAAACAAGAATGAAATCCAGCTCTACATTTTTATCAACGGGTTCAGTAAGAGGATAACTGCCCTAATAGTTACCAAGGAAACTCAGAATTAAACGCAGCGGTGCATTTTATTCTTGGATGAAAAAAAATAATCATCATTTCCCATAAGACGAGCCTCAGGAAAGCTCTCCGTAGACCTCTCAACCAGCAGGGTTATATTTGTGAAGGAGCAGAATCATATAGCTTACTCTCAAAATTGTCTAATCTTTGCCTTGATGTGGGCATTCGTCCAGTTGGAAGTACTCCTTGCTATAAGACCAGGTCAGTGATGGCGAACCTTTTAGAGACCGAGTGCCCAAACTGCAACCCAAAACCCACTTTTATCGCCGGGTGCCAGGTGGGCGTGGCTCACTGGAGGGGTGTGGCCAAGGTGCGTGTGGTCACCTTAATGTTGCTTGTGGTGAGGGATGCCTGTGGGGGACGGGCAGGGTTGGGGGAGATCCAAGGGGTCTCTGGCAGGTGGGGCGGTGGGCAGGAGGCTCGTTCTGCGGGGTGAGGCGAGGCAAGGTGAAGCAGGGCAGGGGTGCTATTGTCACAGGACAAGGTGAGGCAGGGGCCAGGGCGGCTGCTGCCTGACACCATCGGCCCCCGCACACAGAGGCCAGTGAGCGCATGGGGGCCGACAGTGTCTGTCAGCAGCCACAGACTGCCGGCTCCTCAACTGGCGCATTCTGGGGCTCCGCAGCCCGCCGCCAGCAGTTCAGAGAAGCCGCCTCTGAGCTGGACAGACGATCGACAGTTGAGGAAGTGATGCAGTGGGTTGTGCCCGGAAAAAGGAGAGCATGAGAGGCCAGGAGGATGGGATGGGGGGAAGGAAATCAGCCGTGCTGGGATGCATCTGGCCACATGGGACCTTGGCAAGTTAGCGGGCAGCTGGTTGAAGAGGGACGGTTGTCATTTCTGGGGCATGGCGCATGTGCCCACAGAGAGGGCTCCGACTGCCGCCTCTGGTTCGCCAACACTGGACTAGGTCATGGTTGATCTGGAAGGTGATTCTCAAACAGAAAGCCTGATTCTGGACAGGGGCTATGCGCTCAAAAGTTTTCCACCTATTAAGATCATGATCTGACTGGGATATAGACCCATTTCTTTAATGTCTCTTCTTAAGTTGCCTTGTTATCTGCTGTTGAAGCACTTCTCTGAGGACGTTTGAGAGGAGAGTCACTTGAAGTGGGAACACAAAAGAGAACCTTCACTGTATTGATAACCTTTGCTTCAGAATATCCTCCCTGGAAAGGCATTTTTATTTCATCTGCCATTTTGAGCATCAGTAGTAGAGCTTTATGCCTCTTGGAGGGAAGCCAAGAAGGAAAGATGGAAGCAACAGAAGAAGGAAGAACTCAAAAGTTTTCTTTGATCTGAATCAACTTCTGGAGACTCCATAAACTCAGCCATGTACTTTTCATGGCAACAAGAGTGAAGTTGTTTTCTTCAGGGACTATCAGGTGCAAAGAATCAGGATATGTTAAATTGCAGTTCAGAAGATTTATTGTTAAAGCCTCTACACAAGAATCCAGTCAACTACAGTTCAAAGCTAAACTGCTGCCAGCTAAGGGTCAACAGAATTCAAGAGACGTTGGAGTTCGACCATTTGTGGGAATGTAATGACTCTTGGCTGATGACTTGCTTAACTCCCTCCCAGCTCTGCCTGTTCGTCTCCTGCAGCACCGTGGTTTCAGATTCCCAAACTAGCTTGCAACTCCATGGTTTCCTGGTGGCTAATCTCCCATTCAAAAATTCTGCAGGGCTGATTCTACTTAGCTTTCTAAGATGAGCCAGTATGGCCCAGAGACCTTGCCAAGGAAAACATCTGGCCAAGAACAGATACCTAAGCTTGGATTTTTATTGTGGATGGGTCAGTGGAAAACCCTTGGCACATCTTCAATCAGCCCCTTGCTGAACACCACAGATTTTTCTTTCCTTCCATAAACAAAAGGATCTCTTTAACAGCTTCCTGACAACATTTGCCAGGTCAAGCTTTTCTGGTAAGTGAGAGGCAAGATTCCCCACAGCTCTAAATCATCAGAAAACTGGAGTTGGCCTTCTCCCTTCAAAGTATCTTCTGTGCTTGACCATTGACTTATTCTTCGTTCTTCTGCTTCCCAAAAAACCTATTTGTGTCAGTGGAAGTTCCTCAAGACTGGAGTATGTGGTTTAGAATTTTATCAAAAGAAACTATTATCAATAGTTTATTATAGTGGAATTTTTATTATATCGTATTGTTTAAGAATTAGGACATTAATTTGTTTATGTATTATGCTTATTTAGAATTTGTTTATTTTACGTTAAAAGGGAGTTAAAGTGTATTATGGATTTGGTTTTTATATAGTTGGTTAATGTTAGTTAGATTATGACTGTCATATTTGTAACCCTGTATTCAGCTCTGGGAAGTGTGGGAGGGGGAGGGGTGGAGGGGTTTGGGGTTGTTTTGTTGTAAACGTTTGTAAAACTTTTCAATAATAAAAAAATAAAGAAGCAAGGAATATTTGCAGCCAGTAAGAAAGGATACATGGAATCTGATCAGCAAGCACAGCCTGGAGAAGATAGACTACACTCAAGATTTTGGCCGCCACAACAAAGATTTAAGATACTCAAAGCATTAAATATTCTGTGGTGTAATTTAAATCAATGAACCCTCACTGCTTGATGGAATGGAAACTCTAGAGCAAACTCTGAAGAAGCATCCAGGAAAAGCAGCAGAAATAGCAAGTATTGGTGACCGAGTTGCCCGTCAGCTCTCCCAGAATTACATATTAAAATAATCAGACATTTGCTTCACATCATCCAATGATCCTGGATTAAATCTAAAGAAGGGGTTTCTCTCTCTGCTGAACTATAAAATGTTTTGCGAAAACTAACAACAGATCCTGAGGTCTAGGGAGATTCTCAATCATCCTCCACCATTCAGTTAGAACTAAAAAAAGCTTCTTGGATGACAAGAAGGAAAAACAAAGGAAGTCCAGTTGCCTTTTGAAAAAGCATCTTTGAGACAACAGACCCTGATGCTTATTTAAAGGGGCTGAAATTATTTTTTTGGTTTTCTCCATTACCATTTTTTTCTATAGCTTCATTTTTCTTGGAGGTTATCAACCTGCTTCCCTCATCTTTCTAAAGATATAGGACTAGAATTGGATTTATTTTTACTAAACCGTGGTCATAGGGCAAAATTCATAGTTTTCTGTCTCATCAGGACTACGGTTGATTATTATTGTTTTATATCACCCTTCGAAATTACATCCTTGCTTTGGGGGATAATTAAAGAACAGCTTCAAACAGCATGGTTGATCCATTGGAGAAGCATAGCTAAACACGCAGTCCAAAATTAGGGCTATCAGTTTACACCGCAAAACTTCAGGTAACCACTAGATGGCAGCAAAATGGACCTGTATCCTATGTCCTTTCTGTGTCCAACATCCCCCTAGTGGTCATTTACAGTTTAGCAGTCGAGATATGACTGAGATGTGGGTTCATAATACATTAATGTCAATTCAGTGGGAAAATAATACCTGCCTCTTTTTCCATTAAAAAAAGGAGAGGAAGGGTGAACAAAAAAGGAATTGAGAGTCACGATGAGAATGGCAGATTGCCATTTCACTGAGAGCACATAGTAAATCTTCCTCTATGGTGAGGGAAAGAGCATTCAATTTTTCGGTGCTTTAGATTTCCATTTAAAAAAAAAACTCCTCTCTGAGTCTCAGATCTATGTGTACCGTTCTGATTGCAATCATAAGACCTGGTTGCCAAGAGCTTTAAATCCTAGTCTGTATTGCTGACAGGCTATGATATTATAATTAAGTTTTCTGAGCCTTCTCTTTCTTCTCCTTTGCACTAAGATCTTCCCCAGAGATGAATGAGACTAGAATTTATGAACATGACAACTGAAGAACTCAGCTTACCATGGATGTCGGGCTGCCTGTTCACAGGTATATCTTTTATTGGGGTCTTTCTCCATCAAGTTCCGAATAAAATCTTTAGCTGGGAGAAAGGAAAACAGCAGAAAGAAACAGGTATTTGGTAGCTGAAGGAACAAAATGGCACAGTGGTATTATAAAGGTATCACGATGCAACCCAAAACTGACTATAAAGGGAATTACAAGAATAATCAATTCAACGCATTGATTATGTAATGAAGTTCAGCTGAACACTCAGGTTGCTGTCATGATTCTTACAGTCTTATTTTACTTGCACAGTTGCAATGGATGGGTTTCTCTGACAGGAAAATATAACTGGGTTTATTAACTGGAGACTTAGAATTGATTAACATAACAGTATAACAGAATAACAGAGTTGGAAGGGACCCTGGAGGTCTTCTAGACCAACCCTCTGCTCAGGCAGGAAACCCTCTACTATTTCAGACAAATGGTTGTCCAATCTCTTCTTAAAGGCCTCCAGTGTTGGAGTACCCACAACTTCTGGAGGAAAGCTGTTCACTGGTTAATTGTTCTCACTGTCAGGAAATTTCTCTTTAGTTCTAGGATGGTTCTCTCCTTGATCAGTTTCCATCTGTTGTTTCTTGTCCTGCCCTCAACTGCTTTAGAGAAATAATAATAATAATAATAATAATAATAATAATAATAATAATAATAAAGTTGGAAGGGACCTTGGAGGTCATCTAGTCCAACTCCCTGCTCAGGCAGGAAACCCTATACCATTTCAAACAAATGGCTGTCCAGTCTCTTCTTAAAAACTTCCAGTATTGGAGCATTCACCGCTTCTGGAGGCAGGTTGTTCCACTGGCTAATTGTTCTAACTGTCAGGAAGTTTCTCCTTAGTTCTAGGTTGCTTCTCTCCTTGATTAGTTTCCATCCGTTGCTTCTTGTCCTGCCTTCAGGTGCTTTGGAGAATAGCTTGACTTCCTCTTCTTTGCGGCAGCCCCTGAGATATTGGAATACTGCTATCATGTCCCCCCTAGTCCTTCTCTTCATTAAACTAGACAGACCCAATTCCAGCAACCGTTCCTTATATGTTTTAGCCTCCAGTCCCTTAATCATCTTTGTTGCTCTTCTCTGTACTCTTTCTAGAGTCTCAGCATCTTTTTATATCGTGGTGACCAAAACTGGATGCTGTATTCCAAGTGTGGCCTTACCAAGGCCTTGTAAAGTGGTATTAATACTTCACGTGATCAAGTTGACCCCCTCTTCTTTGCGGCAGCCCCTCAAATATTGGAAAACTGCCATATCACCCCTAACCCTTCTTTTAGTTAAATCAAATATATCCAATTTCTGCAATATTCTTCTGCAAACATTCTTCATATCTTTTAGCCTCCAGTCCCCTAATGATTTTGGTTGCTCTTCTCTGCACTCTTTCTAGAGTCTCAACATCTTTTTTACAACGTGACGACTAAAATTGGCTGCAGCATTCCAAATGTGGCCTTACCAAGGCATTGTAAAGTGCTATTAACACTTCACGTGATCTTGATTCTACCCGTCTGTTAATGCGGCCTAGAACTGTGTTGGCTTTTTTGGCAGCTGCAGCTGCACCATATTAAAAAAAGAAAAAAAAAGGCGGGAAAGAAGGAAATAGTGACTTCTCCACCATAGGAATTGAGTTGTACACTAAATCCAAGTTTCCCAACCTTGGCAACCTTAAAATGTGTGGATTTCATTTCCCAGAATTCTCCAGCCAGCATGTATGTAACATCCAAGCCCCCTTGCAGCAGTTCTGAACAGGGAAACTACAGGAAAAGGAGAAGATCAAATAAATGACATTAGGGGACGATCCTAACCCGTTTCTTACCAGATTCAGAGATATCATCCCAATAGGGAGAGTCAAATTCATATTCTGCTTTCAGAATTTGCTCAAACAGCTTGGAGTCGTTTTCGTCATAGAACGGAGGGTAGCCGCAGAGCCTGAAAAAAAAAATTAAAAATGTGTTCAGTCACGGGGAAGAAAATTACTGAAGAAATCCTTAGGGATTTATTATTTTTTTTTTACAGCTTTGGATTTGGGCGATGCAAATGCCAGGTAAATACAGGTAGTCCTCGACTTATAACAGTTCATTTAGTGGCCATTCGTAGTTTCAATGGCACATCTGAATGGATAAATAGAATAGAATAGAATAGAATAGAATAGAATAGAATAGAATAGAATAGAATAGAATAGAGCTGGAAGGGACCTTAGAGGTCTTCTAGTCTAGCCCCTTGCTCAAGCAGGAGAATCTATCCCATCTCAGACAGGTGATTGTCCAGTTTCTTCTTAAAAATCTCCAGTGATGGAGTGCCCACAATTTCTGGAGGCAAGCTGTTCCACTGGTTGATTGTCCTCACTGTCAGGAAGTTTCTCCTTAATTCCAGGTTGCTTCTCTCCTTGATCAGTTTCCAACCATTGTTTCTCATCCTTCCCTCTGGTGCTTTGGTGAACAACCTGACCCCTTCTTCCTTGTGGCAGCCCCTCAGATACTGGAACACTGCTATCATGTCTCCCCTATTTCTTCTTTTCTTTAGACTAGCCAAACCCAAGTCCCGCAGCGGTTCTTCGTACGTTTTAGTCTCCAGGCCTTTGATCATCTTAGTTGCTCTTCTCTGACTTTTTTCCAGACTCTCAACATCTTTTTTTGTGATAAGGTGACCAAAATTGGCTGCAATATTCCAGGTGTGGTCTCACTGGGGTTTTATCAAGCGGTAATAATACTTCATCGTTCGATACTACTTACAGAATATACGCAATCACTCCAATAGACCAGCAGTCCACCGCTTTGCTGTATGGTTTCTGGGCAAGCACTTCAGGAGCTGCAGAAAGGACAGAGGAACGGAGAGAAATGAACAAAGGAGAGAACATTAAATGAAGCTGGCCCACATCCATCCAAGAGCTGAAGGCGTGCTCACTGCAGCATGCCCTCCACTCTCTTCAATTGCTTCTAAACGGCAGAAGGGAAGCCCTGCCAACTTGCAAGAAATGGAGAGAACAAACAAACTCTGAAACTTCTCCTGCAGCCCCTTCCTTCTTTCCATCGTCAGTCACCCATAAGAACATGGACAATTCCTATGGAGCAGTGGTTCTCAACCTGTGGGTCGGGACCCCATTTGGGGTCGAATGACCATTTCATGGGGGTCGTCAAACCATGCTGTCCACCATTTTGTTCCCTTTTCCCTAGCTGTCCTACTCCCTCTTATTGGTGGCCACACCCACTTGGGGGTCACCACAACATGGGGAACTGTATTATGGAGTCACGGCATTAGAAAGGTTGAGAACCACTGCTATGGAGAATACAGGTAGTCCTCGACTTACGATCACAAAGGAACCCAACACTTCCGTTGCTAAAGGAGAGAATGGTTAAGCGAGTTTTGCCCCATTGAAGACTTTTCTTGACACGGTGGATAAGTGAATCTCTGCAATTGTTAAGTTAGTAACACGGTTGTGTGTAGTGAATATGGCTTCCCCCATGGACTTCGCTTGTCAGAACGTCACAAAAGGGGAATCACATGATTCTCGGGACACTGCAACCTGTCGTAAGTACATGCCAGTTGCCATTCGTCCAAATTCTGAACACGTGTCCGTGGGAATGCTGCAACGGCCGGTGAAAACTGGTCGTACGACACTTTTTTCAGTTCTGTCGTAACTTTGAACGGACACTAAATGAGCTGTTGTAAGTCAAGGACTATTTGTATCTTTTAGCATTCCCCATTTAGCTAGAAGTAGAAGTTGTGTAAATGAACATTTGTAGTCAGTTATCCAAAAGGCCCATCCTGTCAATCACTGTCCTGTCCTCCTTGCTAGAAGAATGCCTGGGATCACCACAAATGTGCAGATATGTAGGTACAAGTGAAGGTGGTTTAAGTTAGAATTTTAGGTATCCTGGTTAGTTGGATTTGCTTTCTAATACAAGTGATCAAAACTGTACCTTTATATCAAGTCAATAAATATTCTTCTATGTATTGTCTACACCAGGGGTCTTCAAACTTGGCCCTTTTATGACTTGTGGACTTCAACTCCCAGAATTCCTCAGCCAGATGGAAATAGCAGTGACCTTTGTCTCAAGCAAAGGTTCTTTTTTAGACCTACTAGCTACAAATGAGCCGAGGTGGCGCAGCAGTTAGAGTGCAGTACTGCAGGCCACTTTAGCTGACTGTGTTCAGCAGGTCAGCGGTTCAAATCTCACCGGCTCAAGGTTGACTCAGCCTTCCATCCTTCCGGGGTAGGTAAAATGAGGACCCAGATTGTTGGGGGCAATGTAAATATATATATATATACATTGCTTACTGGTGTATACCGCTTAGAGAGTGTTTGCACTTAAAGCAGTATATAAGTCTCATAAATAAATAAATATCAAGGCTACATTTGGGTTTTGCATTTAAATTTACATTTGCATGCAAATCTTGAATGGAGTAACTGAAATTCTATTTGTTTCATGGTTCAATATAATAGAGTTAGGGCAATGTGTCTCACCTTTAGCTACTTGAAGGTGAGTGGACTTCAACTCCCAGAATTCCCCATGCTGGCTAAGGAATTTGGGGAGTTAAAGTCCACTCATCGTAAAGTAGCTTAGGCTGAGAAACACTGAGGGTGTCAGAGCAAGATAAAACAACACTGTGGAAGTATGACCAAAAGCCAACTTATCTTCTGGAAATTACTATTATCAAAATAAAACTATTCCAAGAGACTTCAACAAGGTCACAGCCATAATCACAGAACCCATAGATTATGTTTTCATGTGAAAACATTTCATAACACACAGTCTGGAGTTGACCTCCTTTCTAAAACCTTCGGAAAAGCTTCTTCACATTTTGTTTCCAGGTATGTGGGGTTATTATGAAACCAAAGAAGGAATAAAATAGAATTAGGTTCCACCAAAGAGGGGTGAGAATGATGTGGAAGGTGGAAGCTGTCTACTGCATGTAAAATGAGCATAAGTACAGAGTTGACTATTTGATAAGGAGAAGAATAGAATCAGTAACTGGAACTATTAAATTCCAGTTCAGAAGATGTACTGCTCATGACTACACCCAAGAATCTAGTCAACTAATGGTCAGCACTAAATTGGTGCTAAATAAAACTCAACGGAATTTGGGGGGGGGGGTTTGAACTTGGAGCATTTTTGGCCATGTAATGATTCTAAGCTGAATCCTCTCTTGATGCCACCCCCAACTCCTGCCTTTTCTTCTCCTACAGAAAGCCATCCAACAGTTAATGGATACGAGCCATTCTGATTGCCATCTTCTTGGCTTCATCCTCAACACTCACTGTTTGAAATGTTCCTTTATTTTTAAATGGTTAATCATATTGACACCCTTGTAATCAACATCTGACAATTCAGAGGACTGTAAATAAAAAGGGGAGCGGGGAGGAAAGGAACCCTCCACGTGAAAACCAGGCACAAATCTTTAGGAAACTTGAAAAAGGCAGTTCTTTACAGCAGGTCGAATTGGTTTGAAGCTGGATGATTTTCAATAGATAGGCAGGATATCTGGCTCTTTGCTATATAGAGGTTGGGGGTGGAAATCATGTCAAATCCCACACAGAGAGGCATGACACAACGCAACAGCCAGATTTTTCTGCTCTAAGAACTTAAGGGAAAGTAGACTATTTAGTCCATGCAGCTAGGTCCTATATATTCCTTCCTACTGTCCCTTGAGCATCAAGGTCTGGATATTTCATAAAGCTGACACACCTAAAATACAACGGTCCATGAGGTCAATTGCTAATAGAAAGTTTGACCCCCATAGACCAGAGTTTTTCAACCTTGGCAACTTTAAGATGTGTGGATTTCATTTATTGAGATGTTTTTCAACCTTGGCAACTATAAGATGGGTGGAATTCACTCCTTGAGATGTTTCTCAATGTTGGCAACTGTAAGATGAGTGGACCAACTCCTAACAATGTTTCTCAGTGTTGGCAATTTTAAAACGGGAGGACTTCAACTCCTTATGATGTTTCTCAATGTTGGCAACTGTAAGATGGGTGGACGACAATTTTTTGAGATGTTTCTCAACCCTGATGACTTTAAGATGGCTACACTTCAACTCTTGAGAATTCTCCAGTCAGCATTGCTGGGAATTCTAAGAATTGAGGTCCACAAATTTTAAAGTTGTCAAAGGGGTCTTCAAACTTGGCAACTTTAAGACTTGTGGACTTCAGTTCCCAGAATTCCTTAGCCAACTCTGATGTCTTCTGGGAATTCTGGGAGTTGAAGTCCACAAGTTTTAAAGTTGCCAAGTTTGAAGACCCCTGTCTTAGACTAACATCTGGAACCCATGTCTATGGAATAGGATGAATCTGGTCATGTAGTATCTGCATCTTAGTGATCAGTGTAATAATGCCACTTAGGCTATACACTGGGTAAAAATAGAGTAATCTCCCCTACTTCCAGGTGGAAATACTTTGTTCCTACATTTTTGCTCCTAAGTCAGGAAAAAGACTTGGAAAGATTGGAAAAACTTAGAAAGATCGGAAAACAGATCTTTTAGGAGAAAATCGGGGAGAAATTTGACATACAATTTAAAAATGGTTGCAAGCTTCCTTCACCTTTGCATAAGCACATCTGTCTAATAATAATAGTAATCAGTTCTGGAAGTGTTTGGATTGGCTGGGTATTTCTACATCTCTTGCTGACAAAAAGTGCTAACTTTTTTTTTTTTTTAAAGAAAACAATTGCTGGAGGAAATGAACATGCAAGAGAAAAAAAAAAACCAGCTATTTTTGCTATAAGACTGCATTCTATCTTACTCATAAAAGGGACTGGGTGCATTTTGTGGTCCTCCCCCCTGTTCTTTCTGACAGTTTTTACATAATAAGAAAGACAGTAATTTATGCAAGGAGCCATTCTCAGCAATAAACATCCCCGAGTAAAATTGAGATAAATGATGTGAGTAAAAGGGATCAAAGACAAATTGTTTGATTTCTGTCTTCAGTGACCAGAGTGAAAATCCAGCTCTCGTCAGCAAAAGGAAATTATAACTGCAGTAGAGATTATCTTAGATGCTCCTACGATAGCACGCAGGGTTATTTTTTTAAAAAAAAAAAAATTATGAACTTCTTTGTCAGCAGTACTTTGGCATGAAAGAAATGTGTTAAAATTGCCTGTCAAAACAAAAGGGCGAATATCCTGCAGGAAGAAAATCAAAAGACATCAAGGTCCAGTGAGGTTCTACTGAAATATAAATGTTTGGCATCCTTATGTACTTTTGGGGGGGGGCAGGATTGGATCAAATCTGAGAACAGGAGGGTGGAATGCCAAATTAATGAAATCTCAGCAGTAAATGTCAAACAAATGTGAATAACATTCATCAAATGTGCAATTCTGGTGGAAATACTATCGGAAGGTATTTATGTCAGCGGTGGTATTCTGTTTTAAAAAGTCCCCAAACTATGAAATCTGTAACGGAACTTAAAAAGGCAAGACTTTAAAAGGGACTTGTTGACTTTGTCAGCTCAAATCAATAACTCTGGCAAAAGTAAACAACTAGTAAGCCTAAGTGGAGGCTTAATCTTCTGAATTACAGATAATTCTCAACTCGTTGTTGTTAGTTGCGAAGTCATGTCTGACCCATTGTGACCCCATGGACAACGTTCCTCCAGGCCTTCTTGTCCTCTACCATCTTCTGGAGTCCATTGAAGCTCAGGTCTACTGCTTCAGGGACTCCATCCAGCCACCTCCTTCTCTGTCGTCCCCTTCTTCTCTTGCCTTCAATCTTTCCCAGCATTAGGCTCTTCTCCAATGAGTCCTTCCTTCTCATTAGGTGACCAAAGTACTTGAGTTTCAACTTCAGGATCTGGCCTTCTAAAGAGCAGT